TCTGTTTATACTACCTTCTGCAGTCAGCTTGGTGGACACGTTCCACACATGCGCAATAGATCGGTTGTTGCCCTGGTAGCGCTAGTTGCCGTAGACCCTACGCGTACCCCCTCTGATGACGATTTTTCCGTCATGAGGACCCTAGTGGACCCTCACGGACCCTCGCGTACTCACGGACGTGGAAAGTAACTGTAACTGTACAGCACCGGTACTGGTTCAGTAATATGCACTGTATTGACAAGGATCTGTCACCACTGTAAAACCAATCAAATGTTTTTCACAGAATTGCAAGAAAAGCAGTATCTGGTGGAACAGGTAGATTGTTCAACCCAGAGCAGGAGATCCACATTGTAAATGTGGCCATGGCATCATGCTCAGAAAACTAGAGGACCAGATGGTGGCAGATAACACAATGTTCCAAAACATCAACAGAGTGAGTCTCTCTGTAATGGCTGAAGCCGCTGTACAGAGTCCCTTTCAAAATAAACTAAATTCGTGTAAAGAAAGTGAGGAACACACATCCATGCTTTGTACACCTGTGTGTATGTGAGTTTTACTGTAGCCTACTACATGCATAACAAAACTTTGTTGCAAACTGCTTTGCCCTAACCACAGAAAAGACAAAAGCCACAAGTGTTTTTCATTTACTCCATCAGTGCATGATCGCTGCTGTGTGCTTACTCAAAGACACTTGCGTGTACTGTATCGATGCGAAAACACAATTGTTAAAAGAGTTAAGAGTTTTGCAAGAGATTTATTTTTTTGGCTTTGGTTTAAGGTTTTGAGGTTAGTGTGCAGAGTTTTGCAAAAATAGCCAATAGTTTCAAAACTGAGCAAATTTCTCTTTTTTTACAGCATTTCAACAGGGCATCTCAAAAAAGTGTAAAAAGTGCAGGTCAAGAGTGTAGCATGGTTCATTATTTCTTGTAAAATCATCTTTGGAGAAAATATTAAAATCCATGCTGTGATATGCTTGCTTGCCCTTTTTTGGCACATACTATAACTATGTGAAATATCAACAAAAGGCACAGGCATATAGCGCAAGTTAAGGTTGAAATGATTCATACTGATAGCTGTATTTTGTATTTTGATGTCCTTGCATAACGACTGATTGAAAGAAGATATTAATTTGACCACAAGTTTTCTCAGTGCTTTGATTTGTTTTGCAAATAGCAACACAGAGGTGGTATCTTTTATAGAGGGATGAGGACTGATAGCTGATTGAAGAGTTATGCAAAGGAGTTTAGAAATTCATTAAACTCATAATTAAGTCTGCTGTGAATAGATGTTTTCCTTTTGCTCAACACAATTAATCCAATAGAGTTTTGGGTCTTTCTATGACATCTGTTTACATCTGCTCTTCTAAGGAGGTGAAGGTGAAGTGGATCCCGGTTTCATAAATTGTGTCTTAGCAATTGAGAACAACTGTAATACACATGATCTGAACCAGATCAAACAGAGGTGAGCAGAGGTCATGGCCTGCTGCCCAGGTGTGATTACCTATCAGTTGCTGGGATTGTGTTCGCAGCAGGTGAAGGAACCAACAACAACACATAACAGGCCAATCCTTTACAGTGGAGAGTGAAGACAAGTGGGCTGCTTGAGAGCTCAAAGGGCCATACACAGGCTTTCATATGATTTGCGCCTGGAGGGGATAATACATTACTCTTGTTTTAAGTAGCTGCATGGACTCGTCCTGTCACATTCCTCGAGCCAGTATGTGACAATTATTTTTTGTTTTTAATCAGTTTAGTAGCCTATAAAATCATGGAAAATGCCCATTGGGATTTCCCAGAGTCAAATTTATGTCTTCCAGCTGCTTGTTTTGTCCAAACCAACAGACCAAAACGCAAAAAGCACTCTACTCACAATCAAGAAAAGCAGCAAAGTGTCACATTTGAGAAGCTGGAACCAGTGAATAGATTATCAAAGCTGTTGTGGACCTTTTTGTCAATCAACAAAATTGATCCAATCGATTAAATGACTAATGCGGGTGTTAGCAGTCAGATTCTTTTGACAGTTCCTCGTGTTTATGTGTTTGTGGGAAACTCCGACTTAAGCGTTAGCTGTCCCAAGACGAACTTTTGCAATGTAAGAAAGTACAAAATTTAATATCTTATCTCAAAATCCTATGTGCAGTATTGTCTCACGTTAGTCTCATGTGTCATGTGTAAGGTAATATTCAGATTAAACTTGAAGTATGACAAGGCAATATAGTTGCTTAAAAAAGCTTTCTTTGGAAAATGGATTACTGTAGAATTAGTGGTTTGTCAGCTAAAACGCAATCAGCCACAAAGGTTTTTTAAAGAATAGTACCATTTTTTTCTTCCTCTTTCAGTTATTAAAAAACAGTCCAAGCTTGCCACTACCAATGTGAACAAAAATTTGCGTACAAATATTTGAAAAAACTGTATGACTTTCATTATCAGCCGTTTTTAAAAAACAAAACAAAAAAACATGACAAATCTGTCTACTGGATTCAATGGAGCAGCCTGGTAAATGATTGCCACACTTCCCTTTGTCACAACCTGCTCATATTTAACAACCCTGTGAAAGATTCTGTTTCTCGGTTGGCAGATCAGTGAGGAAGTGCAAAGAAGTGTCAGGAAAGAAAACAGAATGACACAACAGACAAAATGACCACAGTTTTATCACTCTTCCTTACATCACTTCCTTGCCTTCGTCCTAAGGCCCCTGAGGACCCAGAGGCCCCTATACAATAACACAAACCAGAAGTAGACCATATCTATCCTTTCCTTCTTCTTTTTCTTCTTCTTGTTGTTGACATTTACAACACCATTTGAAAGTGACCACGTGAGTGTGCGCACAAGCAGTGGTACAATAATAGTGTACATTAGAACTATACAATATACATCTGAGGAAGCATTTTCCCTGTGATGTTAAAAACAGTTTTTTAATGCTTTTTGGTAGAAAAAATGTCCAAAACCTGTGAATACCTGCACAACAACAATGTTTCCTTGTTGTTTTCTGTCATTTTTTAAGAAATACGCTATAGTAACCTTAAAATCATCAACATGACATTTAATCTCTAGTATGTTCAGTGGAAGAATTGCAAGTGAAACTATGAAAATAATGTTTCCTGTTACTCACATCACGTAGTTATACTGAAAGAGGATGATTTCCACTTACTAAGAGTGAGACACAGAAAACATCACATGCTTACACAAGGAATCATATTCAGGTAAACATTTCATTTAGATCATTTAGTAAATCATGTGCACTGACTCATTGTGCCACTTGTTTAGGCATTCACTATGATATTGAAATGATGTTGCTTTTTATGGAAACACTCGTCAGAAGTGGTAAAATAATAATATATAAATAATAATAAACTTTATTTAAGATAAAAACTTTACAAAGTGTTTATCTTTGGCTCATGTTACAATAAACATAAGCTACTGTAAATGCTTCAGCACATAAAACTTTATTGTTATTTTGTATCCTTACGTGGAGCCTGTGTTATGCTGTGAGCCGGTTGTTTTATGGTGTTAGTGGACTGCGTGTCGTTAGTGGCCGTGTCGCTGGAGAGAGGCTCGGGAGCGCGCCACCGGAGTCCCCACTTTAAAAGCTGACTAGTGGCTGATGCAAGCAACGGAGAAAACAGGCGTGTGCTACATATCTAAGTGAGTTTTGAACCCGTTGACAATAAGGCAATGAAAATTTATTTATTAAAATCAAAAACTTACATATAGCCCCTTTAAGGTCTTAAATAACACCCACTTGTTTGAAAATGAAACAGAGGTTATCATTGCCTTTGAACTCCACTGGGTCTTTATGGTCTTCGAGCCTGGGGCATCACGTAGAGGTCCAGATCATTTACTTACATGCGAGTTCAATCAAAAGAAATGAGGGAGGGGGGACCCCTGCTGGACAATCTATGTTGTTACATCAGTTATTGCATTGAAACAGTGGTTTCCTTTGTTGAGACACCTTTTGATCTGCATGGTATTCACAAATATATAGTATGATGGCTACATTTGTACTGTCTGTACCCATCCAACAGCATTTATCCCAAAATAATGTATAGAGAGTAAGACAAAGGCGGCAGCTGCATAGTGCTTCTCTGTCAGCCCTGAGCGGTGGTCTATAGCATTACTCACTCAGCTTTGAAAAACATGCATGTATAATATAATACCTCTGGTTATTTGACTCTAAGCGCACATAACTGAAGCTGAATTCTGTATAATTAGCCAACTGAACACAACTGATCGCCAAGGATGTTTATCCCGAATGCAATTTTAAAAAGAAAAAAGACTTTCGTTACATAAATCTTTTGTTTAAAAAAAATCTAAATGCTTGAAACTTTATCTTTGTCTCAAAAGTCACCTTTGTGATTGTGGTGCAGTCATCTATCTTAAACACCGGCACTTGTTTTGAGACCTGATCACATTAATCAACCCTTGTTGAAAATAAGAGTTATGCCAGATAGCAGAAGCACTGTGTCGTCATGGTTTAATAAGAGTTCAGGTATATATGACACAGATTTGTTTTTTAAATGCACGGGTCACAGTTAATGATCATTCTTTATTGTAATGCTTATTTATCTAAAAGAGAAATCACGGCCCCAGGCTTAAAACCAGGGTCAACAAGTGATTAATTACTTGCCTTAAGACATGTACACAATAGTTCCCTGTATGTCCATAAAGAGCTCTGCTGCTTGGAACTGATCCAGCAAAGCGTGATCTCCAAGATTCAGCATGATTAGCTGCCTGGCTGTGACTGAGGTTAAATAGGGGAATAGGGACTAAATGCCTGAATTAAGTCAGTCACGTTGCTGTGGTGACAATGAGCCGATCACACTTTTGACAACCCATTTAGTGTGTCCCTGAACAGCAGCAGAGTATTTCTTTGAATCACCACATCTTCCAAGGGATCTGGGGTTAATCTCCAACATGACCTGAGCGCCTGCGGTGTCTGATGTGGAAGTAGAGCAGTTAAGCACACAGCCGACAAAAGAGTGACTGGCGAAGACAGCATGGGTTGTTTTCATATTACATCTTTATTGTTGGTTTAATAGAAAAAAATGTGCCTTTTTCATACAGATTCAAAATTAATTTGACAAATACACAAAAAATTACAAGATTTTTTTCTAGCAGCATGACTCAATTTCAGATCTTGCGGCTTCACTGGCCTTGTTAGAGCATTTTGTAAAATTACTAAACTATTTATATAAAAAGGTATAGCTTGTGTAGGGAGGACGGAGACTGACAGCTTCACTAAGTGAACACAGGCAATAGAGGTTTAACTGCAGCAACCTTACTGGAGGTTAGAGAAGGAAATATTACTCATATTTCAACATGTAAGGCTGAGGGAAAGGCCTGGGCCGAGTGTTGCCCTGGGACCATACACAAATATAAATGAGAATATATATCACCAGAAAAAGAGTATTAATAGCTGTGAAAACATGATGCCAACAGTCCAGATTATGGAAAATATGCATGAATAATACAGGAATTCTGTAACAATAGGTTATTAAAGTGTGACTAAAAGCAATAAAAACATTTTTCCACGCAGATTACAAATGATGCAACAGCACTGAAAAAAGGATTGTTGCTGGAAGTGACATGACAGTCTGTGAGGTGCGGACTTTTTGCAAATCACGGCTCAGCTTCATGATACGTAGACCTTCAGTGACCCTGTTTCATATGTTGTTTGCATGGTTATAGGCCGAGAAAAAGCAGTTCAAATGAAAGCAGCGACTACGGGTCAGAGAGGCAGAGAAATGGCAAGTAGAATAATAAGGCTCAACATCGCCAACAGTTTGGACTGACTTCAAGTCAGGTTGTTTTTCTGCCAGAGGAAATGTCTAATGACAGAGAGGACAAGTTCTGTTTTCTGGCGAACAACCAATTCATATCAGCAGCAAATTTGAGCAAATGTTAAATGAAATGAAACAATAGCTGAATACAATTACAAACTGATTAAATGAGTAAATATTACACATTAACTGTTGATACATGCAGTACAAAGATGTTGATCTTAGTTCATTTGACCGGCTTTGCACTGTTTTTGGAAGAATTCAACTACCAAAAAGTGCCTGCTAGCTTCATCTTGCCATGTGGGTGTGACAGGATTTGATACAAGCCTGTCCTTATTTATGTGCATCCTGGTGTGTCGAATGTGCCTCTCTGTAGTTCTGATCTGCCACAGGCAAGCACCAGTATGTAAAGAAGAACGAACACAAAAATGTTCAGTGTTCACCATTTTGACTGTCATGGAAAACAGCAGCCGCTCAAAAACTTAAAAACATGAAGTAAAACTTGTACAGCAGTAGTGTTGTTTGTTTAATTTTTCTAGATAAAGGGCTCTACTGTATGTTTAGCTGTTCCTGACACTGCTACAGGAGACAAATGCAAACTCCAAGTAAACATTCATCGTTTAGAGTTTGACATGATCAGACTCCAGAAAGTGAAGTGGTCACAGGAAGTGGACCGTGAGCCTGCCAATGCTGCATAGATAAAAAGAATCTGGCAAGCCAAACACTGGTTCAGCAGTAATCATGCAACCATCCAGATCTACTGTGTCATTCTTCATTCATTCATCTCCTTCACGTTTATATATAATTTCAACTCTGAACAGATCAACCAACTCAGCAGTTTTTCCAGTAGTCATTGAAATGTATCTCTAAAAAACACATAAAAATCCTTTTTAAACAAACTAACACAATAAGAGTTTATGGTTAATGGATAACCATTACAAATTATAGAAAGTACATAAGATACATGTCAGTTACAATCTGCTGGTTCTGACCAGAAACTGGATGAGTCTGACACGGGTAAAATCAAGTTAACAAATATCCAGGACAATGACTATACTGAAAAAAAACAAGTAAAAAGTCAGTTGATCTGACTAATTCACGATAAAGGCTTTAGCAGTTGTGTCAATCAAATTACATCAAATCTATCAAATCTGCTGTGGTTATGATGCATCACAGCTGGGCCACGGCTGTAAGGCAGATTTATTTTCAAAGTAAAGTTACTGCTGTGGCTCAAGTATCTCACTTATGTCTCTTCTTAAAAAATATACAGTGACGTTAGGCTGCTAGCTAACAAGGTGACAACTTGATTCAACGCAAAAAAAAAGAAGAAAAGAAAAACAGTTCAGTCAAAGAAACACAAACATTTTAACAAGTCTAGTAAATTTTCTTGTGACGGATACGTTTTGTGCATAGAAACACAATCAGCCTTTTAACCAAAACACTGAGGTCCTCCAACGTGGCTGCCAGAGGGTAAGCTCCCTGTGGTAGTTTTTATTAATTTATTAATTTGCCACATTGTGGGACTTTAGGACTTTAGAGACATGGGCCTCTAGTTTTAATAAACCTGTGCAACTTGTTTGTACTTAACACTCTTTTTAGTGGAGCAGTAACATAATTACAACTTAATGCTGTGTAAAACAGCAGAATATGAACTTATTAACAAATGTTGCCTCCATATTTAATTTGTGTAAAAAAAAAAGTAATATTTACACTGTGAGTGGATGCTGTCCAAAGAACAGAAAACCAGTTATTAGGGCTATGGGTTAGTTTTCGTGCAGCTCTGAAGTTTTAGGGAAAGCATTTCCTGTGACCTTCATAATACAAACAAAATAATGTATTAATTACTTTCACAGTTAACCATTATTTATTAGGCAGGAGGATACTGATTCCGTTAAATAAAGCACTTTCGAATCAAAATACTTTAAAACAAGTCACTTTGAAAGTGACGAAGAGAAGACTCCTTATTTTTAAGATTTAATTGGGCTCAATCATATTACTGTGCACGAGCTTCACGTTCTGGTTCATGTGATTTGTTTTGTTTGGAGGCTGATGAATCTTAAAATTGAACTCAAACTTGAATGATCAGAAATACTATTATCAAGTTAAACTGTGAAGACGATTTATGATACTAGTTAGCTTACATGGCTGGCAGGTGGACAACTCACCCGGCCCACACTTTTTAATTGCCTCTATTGGCAGCTGCAAAAAGTGTCAACAGCTGTTTGCACTGCCGAGAAAATGCAACATTACCTCGGTCAAACTAGAGGCCTGTGTTTTTGCTTTTAAACATGCTTTAACCACTGGATGGGTCTCCACTACTTCTGGTTCATTGTCTCTTTAGTAGAGGATATTGGACATTTATAGAACTGCATGTCTTCAAGCACTGACAGAGAAATGAGGCTGTGATAAAATAAAGAGAAGCTAATGATAATGTGTAGGGAGAGGTGAGAGAGAGGAGGAATGGTGAGGATCCAGAACAAAGGAGCAAATGGATGTGAAGGCAAAATAAGGAAGAATGGAAGTTTGACATGTCCACATATTTGTGACACCTAAACAGACACTACTGAGGTTTTCGGAGGAAGTGAGGTGGATTTAAAACAGGCGTTTGGCAGCTTTGCGGCTCTGAGACCAGTTCAGATTGCAACAACAAATGACTACGCAGAACAGTGACATTATAAAGTAATAAGAATGCCAACGTGTCCAACTGGATTGGTGAGGATTGTTTAATTACTGAGGTATAGGTGTATGTTTCCTATTCAGAACTGTTTGTCCTACAGCGTTACCCCCCAAAAACTACACTCAGCAGTGAGGTTTGTGTAGGTTTTGGGCTCTAAAGTGTTGTAACACAGAAGCTGACTGAATAATGTCAGTGAAAGCAAAGAGGGAGATTGACAGAAGGGAATACCACCTGAACACCAGAGCGTTTCCTTTCTTAACGTGTACCAATTCCCCTCTTTGCTATTCAGTAATGCATATAAAAACAGAGTGTAACTCACAGAGTCAGTTATTGCCACTCTACTTCACATCTGTCCATTAAAGTTTATTGTTCAGGAGAACTTGTAATCTATGAGTGCAGAGGTAAGTGGTCCAAATGTTTATGAAACAACAATGACGGCAAACTGTCCTGTTGAGGGGATATCTCAAAGAGGCCGTGATATTTTGTTTCATTACTGCCAGCACAGTGAGCGACGCCCTCATGACTAAGTTAAACTAAAGCAGCAAATAGACTGATTATCTGTGAGATGGCTTGATGAAGGCTGAGGCCATTTTGGCAGCTTTAATCTCAGTAGTTCCCTCTCAACAACAGATTGTAACATAATAGTTTACATAACTGCCTCTGCTATTAAAAATACAGGTGTCGCACACACACACACATTCACATAGAGGAAAACTTCAGAATGCAATGAGAAAAAAATGCCTTTTCTGAAGATGAAGAGAAGCTATCCTCCCAACAGCTGTCAATCTCCAAATAGGTCTAATTGCAACACTTTCCACAGTATACAATGTGCACACTTCAAAAAAACTACTGTGAATTATCATTTCAAAGCCGTAACAAACACAGTTTATGCGGATTTGTCTAGCACCCTGCTAAAAACTTAAAAAGGGCAATAAAAACTGTAGAGTTTGGTGATTGGAAAAAAAAACAAGTGCTGAAAGGTAAGGCTGTACAGACTCAAGAGAAGACCTTGTATCAACTGTGGTGTTAAGTTTCATTAATTCAGGCACCTGCACAGTGCTCCCCTACTGCATCTGTTAATCTGTCCCAAGCTGCAAAGTCACTGACTTATATCAAAACCGTTTAAAAAAAATTAACACTAGGGTTCATGGCATATGAATCGGTGGAATCACAGTCACCCACCTGTCTCCCATGCAGGCAGGCTGGCAGAGTAGTTGAAGCCATTTTGCTGACGTTTTGGACCCCGGATGTGAGTACAGTGTGATAAAGTGTGCTGTTGAATTGAGTTGATTGTGTCTGGTGGCTGATCTCTCTCAAGAATTGTCTGCTACCTCCTGTGACATTTACAACAGCTACGCGCATTTCTCTTGTAACTGTCGCGGCAGTAAACAGTAGACGGGAAAAAAGCTAACCTGGGAATCACTCAGGATGAGATTGTGTTTCAGCAACACAAAATAAATAAAATGCACTGTTAAAAGATTAGATGCATGAGGTACTACATATAGAAAACGTGAATTTATCCCTTCATTCTAAATTCTATACACCTCTTGTCTTAACAATGTGTTTATATGGAATCTAAAAAAGAAAGCATAGTAATTTTTATAGCTTCAAAAAGCTAAAGTAGCGAGATAAATGGTGTAAAAGCATTTCATTCCTCTTGGAGGTGTGTGTTACTACAGAGTGCCCAATGAGCAAACGATCCTAGTAGAGATTGTGTTGTGCTTATCCTCCTTATGCGTTTCTATCTTCCAACGCCAATGTGCCTTCTTTTCGTCCTCTCTGTGGCTTGTAGCCAGAGTGCACTTTTCGATTTCTCTCTTCAAATGAAAATAACAAAACAGCCAATGAGAGTCCAGGAGGGTGAGAGCGTTAAAGGTCAGCCAACAGGAGGAAGTCCATGGTTAAGAGCTCTGGTCGGGAGGGGGGGGGGGGGATCTAAGGATGAGAAAAGGTGCTGGTGGGCTGAATCCCTGGAAGGAAAGAAAAGCAAAAGGAAAGTAAAATCTTAGAATAAGACAATATGTATATGTATGTACATTTACATACTTCCTGTTGTACTTACATGATATATGCTTGATATGTATAAATATATATCACCTTTGTACAGTGAGACTCAGATGTGTGTCTCTACGTCAGTATAGCCAGGCAGGATGTCTCCATTGGAGCAGCTCTTGGGCTCCCCCGCTGGCTGCACGGTGGGCAGCATGTGGGCAGTTGTCTCCTCTGGTGACGCTGCCGCCTGGCCTCGCCGTAGCCTGCGGTGTATCAGGGGCACAAAGAAGAGCACCACGCCCCCCACCATAGGAGGAACCCCAGCCAGGGAGAAGGCCACCGTGTAGTTCCCAAAGTAATCATGTAGGAGACCTGGGCAGTGGAGGGAGAGGGGACCTGATTCTTTAATCAAGGAACAATGACAGAATAGGTTTCAAAGAGTAGATATTAAAGAGAAGGTTGCATGTTAGGATAGAGCAGGCCTGGACTGGGAACTGGGAGCACCAGGAGGATTCCTAGTGGCCTGGCCAGCTGACTGGCCCAGAGTGCTGTCCCTGGTCTGTTGTGAATGTGTGGAGATCGGCCTGGGCTGACGCTAGATTGCCTGCCTGAAATATTATCCCAGTTCAGCCCTAGGATAGGAACTTTTTGCCTGAAATAGCTCTATTAAATGCAACAAATGGGAACATTTTTGGTAAATACACTAATTTGCTTTTTTCTTTGACAATTAGATGAGAAGATCAATGCCATTCTCATGTCTGTGTCTTCTCTTGTATGGAGACATAGCCAGGAGGTGATTACTGTAGCTTAGCTTAGCTTATTTTATCTTAGTATAGCTTAAAGCCTGGAAGCAGGGGCTAACAACAAGCCTGCACCTCTAAAGCTCGCTAAATAACACCTTACTTACATTGTTAGTACTGAATTTAGTGAAATGTCCACAGATTTGGTTGGAAATAGTTTTGGCTCATTAATGTACTATAACTAATGTACGTCACAACACAATCTATGACCAAAATAATTCTGTAGTATATCTGAATTTGAAATTAATGCATTTCTAGAACATCAATTATTCTTTAAGTCACTGAAATGATTCAGGTCAATACTCATTCATGGCAACACTTGGCACCCTGCCATCAACAGTGGAAGTCAATAAGGAGATTGCACTATTGCGATACAATACAGCACTAAGAATCTCACCCTGTGATCTGTATAGTATGTATATCCACATCCTACATTTATCTGCATGTGAGCTGAAGCAAATAAACTCTATCTATGGTGACAAAGCAAAGTCAACAAGTTTAACACGCTGCAAAGTATGTTTAACCACTGACCTCGTGACATGAAAGCAGTGGGAGTGGCGTGCATTTAACAACGCTGCCTGCAATGTACAGTATGCATTCTTGAACTGCACAGAACAACACATGTTGATAGAGTGATAATGGCATGATAATTTTGCATGTTTTGTTTAACAACAGCAGATAACATCTACATCTGTGGTTAGTCAAAAGGAAAATTTAAACCATATGCCACTACAAACAAATAGTATAATCATTTGGCTAGTTAGTCTATTAAAGTGGCAGCCCACATGCACTGGATGCAAGCAACTAAGTCTGTTATATCACAGGGGTGGTAGTCACTGACAAAGATACACACCTTTCAGTTTTTCTCTAAACAAAACTCCTTACAGCCAAAATGTTTCTGTGGCGTAACACGTTGCCAAATGCAAACACCAGCTATATTACCAAAACAAAGTAACAATCTGTGAAACTATATTGTCAGTATCCCAGAAAAATGTGAGTAATATTTGTTATGTCTGGAAAACATTATAAAAATGCCCACAGAAATTTCCCACAGTCCAAAGTGACGTCTTCAAAATATTTGTTTTTGTTCAACCAGAATAGTTGCAGATTACTAATCGACTGATTCCTTTAGCTCCAGTTCACTATATCACCATGGATATTCTTGTGAGGACATAGTTTTGGATATGTAATTAATAAAAATCTGTATATTGCTTTCTCCAAAGACGTAATCCAAAACAGAAATCAGCATTTTTTTTAAACAATGTCTGTTTTTATGAAATCAACAGCTGTTAGAGTGTTATGTGGTAAAAGCACTCCAGGTATGTGTGAGATCTGAAAGAGGTTGGCAAGAGAGAGCACGAGGATGGCTGAATCATCAAATTAATGTACTGTCCTCAGAGCTCTTCTAGACACTCCTGTTGTTAGGGCTAGAGAGAAGCATGGCAGAGGAGAGACGGAGGAGGTAGAGGAGACATAAATGGAGCCGAGTACTGAGATGTGACCCTGCATGTGTTTTTTTGCCAGAAGACAAATCCCTAGAGACAGATTGCAGTTGGCCACAAGCCCAAACATCTCTAAATACAATCAGCCTATAATCTATCCTCCCAGGTATTTGTCTTACTCTCCCTTTACTGCCTACATTTTTTTCCATCCTTCCTCTGCTAATATCAATCAACTTGTTGCATCCTGAAGTCTCATTCTGGCTTCTACCGTATAAATCAGTGCTATGAAAATAGGACAACAACAAAAAAAGAGCTGTGCTTCTCACCAGCAATGGGTGGACCTGCTGTCATGGGAAGAGCCATAAGGCCCAAAAGGTAGCCTATGGCCTGTGAGGCCTGCATGGGCCCAACCAGCTCAAACGCTATGGGTGCCATCATGGTGAGGAAGCAGCCGTCACACAGCCCCAGGAACACGCACACAACCACCAGCCCCTCGAACACAGAGCACTGAGGAATCATCATGGACATCAGGCCCAGTGCCATGAAGGACACCACCTGAAACAGACAGTGAGAACACATTAAAAAGCTTCAAGCCTCTCTGTTATTTCCTTAAAGGCTGCCTTGTTCATGGGTCACAGCTGCAGTAGGTGTTTGCTTGTTTCCGGTGTTTGATTTCTTTAGTACTAACAGAAGCACTGATTGCAGAAAGTGAGGGGAAAATATACAACCTATTTTTAGTCGGCTCAATTTCTATTCTTGTTGTCCCTGCTTGGCTTCCAGGCCTTTTGTCTTTATTGTGAACATTCTGTTAGTGTCAGTGCAGATATATTTTTTAGATTACTGCCATTTCCATGGCAGTAATCTAAATATTTTTACAAGATTTGAGCATGGATAGCTGAAACGCTAAGTTAGCCTGGGTTGGCATGAGGCTGGTACTACGACCATTTTGGTTCATGTATTACGTTATGTGGAGATTATATCTAAACCAAAGAATATAAAGCTGAGGATTTTTTATATCTCAATCACATCATCTGTTCCATAGGCTGCGTAAGAATTGTGTTTTTGTTGTTTCTGAAGGCTGTCTGTTTGTACAAACCTAAACAGTCAGCTAATACTGTTGAATTACGCCGAGCTCAGAGTTCACAAGTTTAATGAGTGAACTGTGAAGGAAGGTTATGTGCCTCAACAACAAGCTAAAAGGTGTTACCCGAAAAGCCCTTTGTGATTACCACATTGTACAAGCAACTCTTAAAAACATAGTTTGTTCAACTCTGGATAAAAGAGAGTATTCCTATCTATAAAAGACTCCCTCACAGCCAGTCTGTTTATTATGACAGCAGGAGGGATATTATTGAGCAGCATGCTGTAAACACATTCTCTTTTTCAATGGAAAACATTATCTGTGCACAATCGAAATGTCCAATTGTCGCAGTGGCAGCCCGGCTGTTGGTGAGTGTCCTGTTTCTCCTTTCCCTCACATTCTGGTTTCTCCTGTGCCCTCTCTCTCTCTGTGTGTGTGCTCTCTCCCTCCCTGCTCCGGAGCCCGGCTGGCTACCCACACCTGCACCTCGTTAACCTCCATCCCCAGCCGCCGCACCTGCCAGCCATCAGCCTCATCACAACCAGTATATCTACCCCGGCTTTCCACTCCATCCTTGCTCGATCGTCGCAGCTCCTGAGCTGGTGTCGCCGCTTCGTTCTGGCTCTTTCTAAAATTCCCTCTTGCTTCACGTCCCCATTGCCTACTAACCCTGTCTCTCTGTTTCCCCCTGCCAGGTTCACTCACCTCTGCCTCCCAGCTCGGCCAGTCGGGCTCGCTCGCCTGCCTCCTCCTCTCGCCGCCTCCACGACGCCCTCCGGCTTCTCCTCTCGCACCCCGCCTGGACCCCAGTCTTGCGCCCTCTCCTATCCGTCTGCCAGCCTCCCTCAAGCCTCCAGCTTAAGTGCCCTCCGTTCCTCCAGCTTCTCGGTTCCCCATGTCCTCGTCAGCCTCTCCCCCTCCTTCCACCCGCCCTCGCCTCGAACCCCCTTCTCCTCAATAAACCTCTTTTTCTAACCCTCAGCGTTGCGTTTGGGACCGTTCTGTCTCCCACCGTTACACCAATAGTACCAAGGGAGCATTGGAAACATATTTTTATGTGTCTTTTAATATCACTTGCACATCCATCCACTCAGTTTCCCTCTGCTGAACAACACGCTCGATTAACAACATGCAGAATGAGTGTTGTGATTCTGGCCGACATAGCCAATGTATTGCATTCAGCAGGAAGTACAGGTACACCAGCAAGAAATTAGAAATCCTGTTGTATTCACCTCTCAAACTGCCCTGAACGGCTGTGCTTTTCCCCGTTCTATTTTCTCAGGACTGAATCATCCCTGCTATTATGCAGGTGGGTACTTCTTATGGCAACACACAATCTTGTTTTTATTCTGTCACTGTAAGTGGGTGCAAATTAGCGTCTGAGTCATGTTTATCTGCAGCCTAATAAGCCATTAAAGACACTGAATCACTGAGATTGCAAATTAAAAAATCTAATGCTCAACCCAGTGACAATACATAATTCTTTTAATAGAATGATTTTAAACAAGTCTTGGTTCAGTGTGATAAAACGTGCCAGATGGGTGAGCAAAACAAAAAAAGGTGCACTTAACAGAGTACATGGTGGCTGTCAAAACACAATTGTTAATAGTTAACCTCAAGTCTTCTATTACAGGTCAAAGTTGATGTGCAGACTTTTGCATTATTAACACATTACAAGCTATTATGAGAGTAATAATTATGCAGGAATGTATATCGTAACGCTAACCTTGCAGAAATTATAAATAAGAAAACAAAGACAACTTTTAATGTAGACAGATTTTAAAATGGTACAAATAAATCATTAAAACCATGTTACTAAGAGGCTAAAAGTGAGATAATAGACCTGTGTCAGAAATTTAGCTGGTACGAGGTCGAGGCCCACATACCACTTTTAACTGAGATTTCACAGAAACATGCAAAACATTTAAGGAAAAGGGGACTACCCCTGTTTTATGCCTTCAGACATTCTCACCTGCATGTAGATCTTTTGAAGGCCAGGAATGAGGTCTCCGATCTTGCCGAAGGCGAGGCGTCCCACGCCAGATGAAGCTCCTATGCAAACCAGGAGCACCCACTCCTTCTGGGTGTCCTTGAACTGCTCATTCACAAAGTTGATCTGAGACACGGAAGGAAAAACAGAGACAGTGCAGCATGAGCGTTGGCTGTATGTGTTATGCTGCATAAGAAACTCACCAGGAGCTACCAATAATGAATGATCTCACAAAGACATAACACAACCCTGCTTGTGCACTTTTTTCATGTGTTTTTGAGCTCCATGGTTAAAAAGTCAATGTACTCAGCAAATGGGTGTACATTTGGTGGAGTGGATGAATTTGTCCATCCATAAACCCAAAGCGAAGAGCGTACAATAATAAAAATGTCTTCATTCACAGACCTTTGGTACAGCAGGACAGGAAGACCCAACGCATATAGGTCAGACCCTCCCACTCCCCTCAGCCCTGACCCCCCAAATCGGATCCAAAACATTAAACCATCCTCTGAAGTCTTTCCTGAACATGCTAGTGAAATATTTGCTCTGCTTTGAAGGGCTCTACATTCATCAATGGCCATAGGATAGGATGGGAATGTTTAGGAATACAGAGAGGCCATACAGGAGAGGTTTCCTGAGGTGGTGGAGCCAATACAAAGGCCGGGGCTGTGTTTACATCTGGGCCCGAGCCTGAAACAATAGGCCTGACAGAGGGAGGCCGGAGCTGGAACATCCGACATCTGGATAGAGGGAGATCAACTTCACAGCTCCACGCTACAGCTTTACACTTCATCCTCATCCTTCACTATCTCACTATCTCACAACAAAGTCAGCCATAGGTCATGTGCAGATTTTGCAAATATACTTATCTTGGAAAGCCAAATTACTATGCTTTTTTAAGACTCGTGAGTTATTTGACTTCTTTTTTTATAATGATGTTCAATTTAGTCACCCCTTCCTCCCCCGTGTTATTTTACACATATTGTCAATAGTTTGAGATAGGTATTGAAGAGTAAGAACCACACCAGCATTTAAACAGACTATAGTGATATTTGCGGTTACCTTTAGATGCTATTTAATGTGCTGCAGCTGCAACTAATTAGCTAACTGACATTGGTGGCACCCTTTTCCCCAGTGAATGATTGTTTGGCCGCTTGTTCAATAGTTACACAAGCTTTAATATGTACATCCTAAGCTTTAGCAGGAAAGCGAATCAATGTAGTTTTTCAATGTATGTGGCTCTTGTGTTGTGTATCAACAACCTGTTCCAGTTGAGAACTGGTTCCAAATTGTCCTGTCAGATGCACATTGCAAAAACTTGCAACAAAAATTAGTCATGGTGGAAAGGAAGAAATGGTCCAAAGCTTGGCTTTATTTCATGAAGTAAGGTGCTAGTTGTAATGTCTGTAAAATGATCATGTCAGGTAACGACAGAAACACCTGCAATATGCTGAAACATTTTTCCATGCAACATGGGCTTAAATTCCTGGAATGTATTTGACACCCTACACACGCGTGCCACTGCTTCCCAACAGAGCAGTATGTCCTTAGCCTATGTTATAATAAGAAAACTTAAATGAAAACAAATGCTGTATAAATATTCTCTCCTTTCATCCATTTTAGATAATGACCGATAGACTGCTGCTGAGTCATCTTCATGCCTTTTTCTACCCTGTTTCTACACTTTGTTCAGACTCAGAGATAATAAAACAGTTGCGTTAGTGATGAAAACTTGTGTAGGTCAATTATTTTTTGTACCCACACAGAAAATTGATCAATACTCGGAAAAAAGAATCACACTTAAGCAGAATCAAGTCCCGCCCCTAGTAGCTGGCTGCTATCCCTGACTAGTCACGTAAGTCAGTGTGACCATCTACCTATGAACGAACAGTGACATTCCTTCTTCACGCAGATATATGCACGTACAACCCTGACTAGTCAACACCAAAACGACCTAGATAACCCAATAATATCAATACAGAGGTCAGGATTCCTCCATTTACCAAACACATATCAAAACTACCCAATAATATTATGGCATGTGATCCATATTAGGTAATGTTATAGTATACGGAGATGAATGAAAGACTGTTAAGTACATAATGCTTAGTATGTACATACAATCTTCTATTAAAATCTACCGAATATAAACAAAATGTAACATCTTTCATAAGTATGTGATTGTACACTTATATATAATATTTAAGAAATAGAGAGAAGACTTTTTGATTTGTATAGTCTTGAGATCAAATAACCAAATTTAAGGCAGGAGCAAACACACAACATGCACTTATAATTTGACAACAAGCATGCCCATTATTGTTCTTACCAGATGGACATATGGGACAAAGTAGCCCAGTACAGCTGTGGCAACTCCAAATGCCCACACGCGGTATGTCACGATGTGAAACACGCGCAGGTTGAAGTACTTCCTGACGCCACCCATGACCCTGCTCCACCTGCTCCCCCTCTGAGCAGTGGCCCCTGGCTGGGTCTGGGGGTTGGCAGGGCCAAGACCCATGCCTGGGGGTCCCATGCCTCCTCCAGCAGGCAGTAAAGGTTTGAACAATAGCGCCAATAGGGCCTGGACCAGCATGAAGAGGCTGAGGATCTGGAAGGTCCTGCTGAGGCCTAGAGGTTCCACCACCTTGTTGAGGAAAACAGGGAGGCCCATGGAGAAGAGGCTAGCACCGGCCGTCACCACACCGTTGGCCAGGCCCAGGCGCTGGCGGAAGTAGTGGCCTAAGATGACCAACGAGGGCTGGAAGGCAAAAGAGGAGCCACAGCCGAACAGTATGCCGTATGTGAAATAGCGAAGGCTCAGGGAGCTGTAACAAAAATGATAATAAAAAAAGAGGAGTAATGATTTGGTTATTATTTGACCATTTGTTTGCTTTAACATTGAAACTGAACATACAAACTCGTTTCACTGCTCATATCAGATTTTTATAGATGGTTAAACATGTGAAGTTTAGACTGAGTATAGGCATCTGCCTAAAAATCTGTTATTCTACATGTTACCTGTGGCCTTTGTTTAGCTGCTCTGGCTACTAGTGCAAGAAAATGCAACATGGCTAAGGGTTCCCAAATAAGCTATAAATATACTATACAAAAATGCACCTTAGATGCCACTAGGAAGTATCATATAACTTACTGAATGACCGTTAAGAGTGCCTGTGTCATTAAAACTGAATTAATAGTTGTTTAGTGCCTAAGCAGTTTTCACCTTTTCCAAAATTCTGTCAATATCTTATATGACTGAAACTAAGATGTGATTATTAATAGCAAATAAATGCCAAAAAAGTCATCCAGCTGCCCTGAAGCTTAAACAAATGTAGCCCTGTAACTCTTTTTATTACCATTACATTTGAGTCAGGACCAAACAATTGTTTTTCTGGAAAAAAAGATTTATTTATTTTTTAACCCATTTCCCAAGGTGTTTTTAATCTAAACAAAAGATGGTAGCCAGAAATTAAAATTTCCGATTCAATTCAATTTTATCTATATAGAGCAAATTCATAACAGAAGTTATCTCAGATATAATGGTAATGCCTCAGAGGAACAAACTGGGGCTAGAACAAGTGACGTCTTTAATAAATGTACAGTAGCTTACTTTGCAAAGGATGTACTGAGCAGCCCTATAAAAGCCAGGGCTGCCCCACTGACAGCTGTCTTTCTACAGCCGAAGCGGTCTGTGAACATGCTGACCACAGGTGAACAGAAGAAGATCATGCCCATGGCCAGTGCCCCGACCCAGGCTGGGGAGGAAGTGGAGAGGCGAGAGAATTCATTGTCAGAAACATTTGGAAACCCCGTACGTAATATTTAATCCATGTAACATGAAAGGCACTGTGTGCTATAATTCCACAGAATACAATAGTGTGCAATACAACACACGCACATACAGCAAAAAAATTAGGAGAAATTGATTCACTTTCCTGCATGGAAACAATATACTAACTCATTTTGTCATGTGTAATCTTTCAACAGTCTCTACAGTTGTTTTACAGTCAAACAACTATGGCGTATGTACTTGAAATTGAGAATAAGAAATTTCACATTCAATTTTCACATGTGCCACTTGTTATTTCATTGGAGGCAGCCTTTGTATGCACCAGTTTTTCTTGGAAATCAGTCTCTCTGTGTGGCCCCATCCACTATCTGATGTGATTTGCTATTAATATAAGTGTACGTAACTGTGTATTGTGTCTATCTTTGCATCATGTACATCAGACACACTTCATAAGATTTCTCATGGTGATTAAGCAGATCAAAAAAGTGGATCAAAGTGGATAGTTCTGGCCTGTGGTGTAATGTCCATCCAGTGTTAAAATATAACGAGCCAGAATGATCCAACAGAGACACTGCATACCCTGAAGTAAAAACAAACAGATGTCTGGATCCAGTCTCCTGGGGAGCAAAGGTAACTTTAATGTCTACCGTGGTGTTTGGGCTGTGAGTTACACTGATTTAACAGCTCAATAGGAATGAGAGCAGAGAAACTGATAAACAGGTGCACTGACTGATTTACCTACTTACACACACACACACACACACTCTCTCTCCATGAGTTCAGTGTGAAACAGTATACCAACACAGTCTTTGTTGTGAAGGTTAACCTAAACATTCTGTACTTTGCACGTCTGCTGGTACACAGTATATACACTACAAAGTCTAATGTTGTATAGTTTAAGGGTGGGACTGCACTGTACCCTAGCCTTCCTATAGTTTATTTGTCCAAACAGAACAAAGAAAGTTTCATCTTGAGGTGCAACAAAACTTTTCAACACATTTCATATCACATTTCAAAGCATATAGCAGATGCCTACAGTATATACACAAGTGGATATCAATAGGGGCAACAATAAAGTAGGTTAAATGCTATGGTAAATGTACGGGTGAGATACCAATATACCATTCACAGAAATAAATGGCAAAGTTTCACAAGATCAGATTAACCCACTTTACTAAGTAAGCCATGGAGTTTGGGTTTGGCTTCCCATTAGCACCTTAGCATTAGCAGTTGCACCATATTGCACCACTGATCTAGAGAGCTAACAACCAATTTCCTAAGGGACTAGTATACTTAAAACTTGCCGCCTGAAACCCTCTACCCCACACTTCTCCGAAGTTGCAATCTGTTTTGGTCTCCATCAAATCCTGAGGGTCTTTAACTGATAAATGCTTTGCTCTGTTCACCAGCTAGTCGCTAACTTTGCCTGTCTGCCATTTGGGGTACAGTAGGTTTTTAGAGCTTTTTAACAAAAAAATGACCCGACAGTGCACAACACCATTAGACTACTCTCAATAGGTTTTGCATAGAGCAAATCACTCAAATAAGTGCTAACTTTGGTGGTTTATCCACAGTACAGTCTAGATGACAGAACATCTTCATACGAGTAGGAAGGTAAAGTCTGGCCTGATGATGGCCCTAAGGGAAAGGCTATGGTAGTCATTAAATGATCCCCATGTCTATAGTGGCGCCCCAATTCAGTGGTAAGATCCTTCAAATTATGTGGTCCACAAGAATAACCTGCAGCCTCGACTGTGTAAGCAAAGATACATAGCATTTGGTCAGAAATAAAATATATAGCCCTGAATGAAATTGGATGACATGTATATGGCTAGCCTTAAAGGTTAATCATCCAAAAGAAATGTGCACAGCCAAAAACTCCTGACAGAATTGGGTCGGGTTTAGTTTGCATTGCAGTCTGGTGCCTGGAATCTCAGAAATTAATGTCCACAGCCTTGCGTGTGCCTCAACTACTGGGATCATTAATGCCTTCACTGGTATTTCTCCAGCTTCTCATATTCCTTCTTATTGATGTTGCCCGTCACTTAAAACAGCTCGACCTATCACCAGCACCACTTTCTATTTCTTGTCTGTTACCACATGCGCAGTTCGTTTGTCTGGAAGGACCACATGATCTTAACTCATAACTGTCCTTCTCCACCACCCATTGAGGTGTCTCCCTTTTGGATTTGTGTCATCGTTTATATATTACTACTCTTTCTGTAGTTTTTGCCATATTCTTTTTCCCATCTGCTCTACAGTACTGCTCATTTTTGGCTCTAGATGGGTTTGCACTTTGTTACTTCACTGCAGTTATGAGTACACGTTAGATGCTTATGTAGAATAGGGCATTATACCATTTCCCTAACAGAAGAGCTGGGTAATATGAATGAGCAGTGACAGCCACAGTGGCTGAACAGACAAAAAATTACAAAAACTGAAATGATGTCAATGACAATCTGGCACTGAAGCAACATGATAACGTGAGTACAAGTATTTTCTGCAGTACTATAAATGTATGCTTGTTGTCATGTTATGACAAATTATCCAATCACTTCACCCAAGCCTGCATCCAAGCTTTCTTGACTAAACCGAAGTGGAGAGGATGATTGCAGTACCTGGGGAGAGAGTGCCATGTACATTCCATTTTACCGTGTTAAAAACCAAAGCACACTGTCTACAACCGACAAGGCCCAACTTACAATCAAAGGCTAGTAAAGCAACAGAAACCTGTCTCATTCATCCACTCTCTCCTCTCTTTTCTGGCCAACCCTACCTCAAAAGCCCCATTTCCCCCCCTGCCATGGCACATGCAAAGGTCTGTGAGCGGAGTGTACTCACTATAGTAAATTAAACAAAGCAAAAAGAACACAGCGTGGGAGACAGAAGCAAAATAATGTGTGTGTTTGTATGTGGTGGTAGTGGTGAGGGGACTGTCTTTACATGATGGATGCAGTCAGACAGCCAGAGAGAGACTGAGAAGTGGACAGCTCTAAGTACAGTTGTGATTGCAACCAAGACGTATTGAGGACTTATTGAGATCCGATCGCAGAGACCACATTCAGACGTGGCCTCATACAGCCACATTCTTTTGGCAGAATGTACGCAAATGTGTCCTTGGCCACACTCAAGGACTGCTCCCCAACTGACATCCTCTGCATTAGTGGAAATACATAGTAATTTGCACAACAATATTGTCATATTCACTGCAAAACAACAAGAAGAAGCTACAACAGCCAAAATGGATTCTCATGGATGGAGTACACACATACACAAAGAACTCTGTCTGAAGTCCTCTGGCTGCTCTGCCTCAACTCTGTGAGTTTAACGAAGGACAGGTAGCTTTACCTTTAAAGTAATTGCTAACAGGAGCTTTGGACAGCCAGGAGGAGGAGGATGTTTTCTAAAGTAAATAAAGCTTTATTTAAGCTTTAAAGCTTATAGGACCTCTAGCTGCACGGCTAACTGAGAACAAACTTCTTGAAGCAGAGAAACACTGTTCGAGACAGTTCCATTTAATGTACCAAGAGATTTCCCCAAAGGTACTATGTTTAGCTTGTATTAGTACATACTTTGTTTTGTATGGCATGCTGTCTAATGAAAAATCAAAACAGAAAAACTGCACTACAGTACTATTACAGTACAGTACCATATTTATATACCGTATATGCTTAAACACGTGTCTACTGTGACTGATCAGTCATGTGTAAGTACATGAAGTACTGAGAAACTGATTCTATATTAGTTCAATATCTTAACAAACTTCCAGCATGCTAAGCAAACCACATTTTATACTGCCATGAGTGTACTGAGATTGAGGCATTCGTGTCATTCAGGTCCTCTCACTTCTTTCCAAACAATACTGAGTTTATACTTACATTTCCCGATAGCTGTGACTGAACAATTACCTTAACAACAGCGGTTAAAATATTTAGACAAAGATAGACAAAGTCTAGTAGCAGCTACAGTGCAGTAACAGAGTATTTGGAAAGTGACAACATTTTGTTGTTTTTGTTCTGTTCTCCAGGACAATGAGGTTAATGTATCAACTTTCAGCTCTTTAGTCCCTGTTTTAGTGGACAGAAAGTAGGTAGGAAGTACTTTCAAAGAACTGTGTTCACAGCCTGCTCTGTGTATTATCCTTATTAACAAACACAATGGGCTTCATGCAAGAACCACTCGTACGGACAGATTTGTTCTTAAGTAGCTTGTACGAGCGATTTAGGAGAACCTGCCGCCTGGAAGTGCAATCTTAGAGCGTCAGGCCCTTGGAAGACAGTGACAGCATGGCAGAGAGAGGTGAATGGTTGTTCTTGTGGTTTAGACTATCATGGGCAGTGCTTATGCAAATATTAAACATTTTAGACCCATAACTCCGCAGACAGTCACACACATCCAACACTATTCCCTTAATTCCTGTGCTGATGCTATAAACACTAGACTTTCCTTTATGGATCTCCGACAGCAGGACTTAAATCTCTGAACTCAAGAAGATCTTCTATTATATCTATATGTCATTTTCAGGTCCTAATTATGTTAATTTACAATTCTCATGAACACAAGCTCATTTACGCACAAAAGGCATTCATCATGTTTATGCAGGTCATTTACACAGCTATCTGGAGTTAGCAGCGGTGAATCGTGGATGATGTTGCACACTGGTACGAGCCTACCATACGAAAAAAGTAAGAGAAACTTAAGATATGTATATAAAAAATGCTCTTGCATGAGGCCCATTGTTCCTGGAAAGACTTGTTTGCTGCTGACTTTTTCAAAACAACAAAATGTTATTCACCTCCAATGTACTGGGTACCTGAGTCATACTGGCATACTGTATATCTCCAAACCTGGGGGAAAAAAATAAAGAACTATCTGCTCAGATAGATGCCACTGCAGAAAGTAAGAAACAATATTTTGTGGAACTTGACTGAAGCAACCATTTAATTTGAAAGAAATAATCTAATA